TAATTTTCTTATTTGTTATTAACTTATTATTTGCTACTAATTTATTAATTTGTCATTGATTTTTTAATTTGTTATTAAATTATTAATTTGTTACTAATTTATTAATTTGTTATTAATTTGTTATTCCTTATTTGTTATTAACTTATTAATTTTGCTACTAATTTATTAATTTGTCATTGATTTTTTCATTTATTATTAAATTATTAATTTGTTACTAATTTAATAATCTGTCACTGATTTTTTCATTTGTTATTAAATTATAAATTTGTTACTAATTTATTAATCTGTTATTAATTTATTAATTTGTTATTAATTTCCTAATTTGTTATTAACTTATTATAATTTGTTACTAATTTATTAATTTGTTATTAATTTCTTAATTTGTTATTAATTTCTTAATTTGTTATTAATTTCCTAATTTGTTATTAACTTATTAATTTGCTACTAATTTGTTAATTTGTCATTGGTTTTTTAATTTGTTATTAAATTATTAATTTGTTACTAAGTTAATAATCTGTCATTGATTTTTTCATTTATTATTAAATTATTAATTTGTTACTAATTTATTAATCTGTTATTAATTTCTTAATTTGTTATTAATTTCCTAATTTGTTATTAACTTATTAATTTGCTACTAATTTGTTAATTTGTCATTGGTTTTTTAATTTGTTATTAAATTATTAATTTGTCATTGATTTTTTAATTTTTGTTAAATTATAAATTTGTTACTAATTTATTAATTTGTTATTAATTTATTAATTTATTACTAATTTATTAATTTATTATAAATTTCCTTATTTGTTATTAAATTATTAATTTGTTACTAATTTAATAATCTGTCATTGATTTTTTCATTTATTATTAAATTATTAATTTGTTACTAATTTATTAATCTGTTATTAATTTCTTAATTTGTTATTAATTTCCTAATTTGTTATTAACTTATTAATTTGCTACTAATTTGTTAATTTGTCATTGGTTTTTTAATTTGTTATTAAATTATTAATTTGTCATTGATTTTTTAATTTTTGTTAAATTATAAATTTGTTACTAATTTATTAATTTGTTATTAATTTATTAATTTATTACTAATTTATTAATTTGTTATAAATTTCCTAATTTGTTATTAACATATTAATTCATTACTAATTTATTAATTTTTAATAACTTTCTATTATTTTTCTATTAATTTGTTATTAATTTATTAATTTGTTACTAATTGATAATTTTGTTATTAATTATTTAATTTGTCATTAATTTATTAATTTGTTGAAACTTATTTTTAGAAATTTGTTATTAATTTCCTAATTTGTTATTAAGTTATTAATTGGTTATTAATTTTTAATTTGTAATTAATTTTTTAATTTGTTATTAATTCTATTTATAAATTTAGTATCTTTAACTACATAATTTTTTACGTCTGATGAAAAAAAAAAAAAAAAATTGAAAAAGACATTGAAAAATTAATAAATAAATTATTTTAATTATTTCTTTATTAATTTTTAAATAGTTTATCCTTTACAAAATTAATAATTAATATTTTATATTCAATGCAATCGTATAGAGAAAAAAATATTTCTTTTTGTTACCAATTATTTCCATATGAATTAAAAAAATATGGGTATTTTGAATTTTTTTTTAAAAGAGAGAGAGAGAGAGAAAGGAAAAGGGGTTACATAAGTGAAAAGGGTTAAATGCGGGCTATCGGAAATTCTCCAATGAAAATGTATCACAGACAATTGAATCAAGTGGCAAATGGTATAAAGCTTGCATTTTTATTAACGTCCGGGTAGAAAAGAGTGAGAAAGGGAGAGAGAGAGAGGGGGGGGATAAGCAGTTCGAGAGGAAGATTATCATTGTAGTATCGTTAAGAGAATTTAATTCAATTGACCCAAGTGTTAAAAGTGCTATCATTTTATTATGTCACCTTATAATTGACATTGTGTATATATTTAGTTTCTAAAAAAAAAAATTTTATATCCGCATAACAATGCACAAAGGAAAATTAATTTTAGAATGAAAAAAAAATGTTTCTTTTTAATTTCTTAATTTTATTATTTTTTAAATAGTTAATTTTTAATTTCAAAAACATTTTTTTTTTAATTATAATTTTACATTTTCAATATTTTCTTTTCCCGAATTTTCCGTCATTGGAGATAATTTTCCCTTTTCGAATTTTCCACGTGGAAAATTTGTTTCTTTTCCGAATTTTCAATCATTGTTTTCCGCACCCGAATTTTTTCATTTTTTGTATTTTCTTTTCTCAAATTTTCCATCATCGAGGAGATAATTTTCCTTTCTCAAATTTTTAACGTGGAAAATTTCTTTCTTTTCCGAATTTTCAATCATTGTTTTTCGTATCTCGAATTTTCCTTCTTCGAAAATAATTTCCCTTTTCTCGAATTTACCATGTGGAACTTTTATTTGTTTCCCGAATTTTTCCATTTTCAATAATTTCTTCTCTCGAATTTTCTTTTATTGGAAAAAATTTTCCTTTCTCGAATTTTTCAATGCGGAAAATTTTTTTTCTTTCCCGATTTCCCAATCATTATTGGTTAACATTAGTTTTTTTCATTCCCGAATTTTTCAACATTTTCTTTTTCCGACTTTTCCTTCTTTGAACATAGTTTCCATTTTCCAAATTATTTTCCATGTGGACAATTTTTTTTTGTTTTCCAAATTTTCAAATAGTTTTTGTTTTCCATTCCCGAATTTTTCCCAGTTTCATTATTTTCTTATCCCGATTTTTTCTTCTTTAGAAATAATTTCCCTTTCCCGAATTTTCCATGAGGAAATTTTATTTCTTTCTCGAATTTCCAATAGATATTGTTTCCCTTTCCCGAATTTTCCCTTTACAAAATTTTCTTATTCTGAATTTTCCATTTTTTTTATTGTATTTTTTTCAAATAAATTTATTTTTTTATTTATTCTTTCCAAATAAATTTCTTCTTTATATAATGTTAGATTTATAAAAAAATGGAAATAACAGAAAAAGAAAAAATTCGGTGCGGGGGAAATTATAGGAAAATGAGTGGAAAAAAAATTCGGGAAAGAATTCAATGGAAATGGAAAAAAGTAAGGAAATTAAAGAATGAAAATAAAGAAAAATTGTCAAACGGAGTATAAGGAAAATATAGAAATGGAAAATTCAAAAAAGTGGAAATTATAGAATGTGGGAAAATTCGGAAAAAGGAAAATTAAAAAACTTTCATTTTCTTAATTTTCCTTAAAATAAATTTTAAAAAAATTTTAAATGCAAACTATAAGATAAAATAAAAAATTAGAAATTTTTCACAGTGAAAATTATAAAAAGGAGGAAAATTTGGAAAAAGGGAAATTGAAAAAAAGAAAAAACGAAAAGGACTCTAAAAAAATAAAAAATTACCAAAGTGGAAAAATGGAAAAGAAGAAAAAGGGGGGGAAGAGTTAGAGGGAAATTAGTGGAAAATGGAAAAGAAAAAAGAAGGAAAATTGGGAAAAAGGAAAAGTTTAAAATTAAAAAAAAGAAAAAACGAAAGAGATAAAAAAATAAGAAAATTACGAAAGTAGAAAGTAGGAAAGAAGAAAAAGGTGAGGGAAATTCCAGTGGAAATTAGTGAAAAATAGAAAAGAAATATAGAGAAAATTGTAATTTTCCTTCTTTGAATTTTTATTTTTCATTAAAACTAGAAAAAAAATGTGGAAATTAGTGAAAAAGAGAAATTAGAAAAGCAAGATGTGGAAATTGGGAAAATTGGAAAATTGGAAAATTAGGAAAACTAAAAACGGAAAATATAAAGAAAATACGAAAAAGAAATGTTTGGAGAGGAAAACTTTTTTCGATTTTGATATTTTTTCGGAAAAAAGGCAAGCGGTGAAAATTCGGAAAATTAAAAAAGAAAAGAAGGAAAAAATAAAAATACGAAAAAAAATGTTTGGAGAGGAAAACTTTTTTCTATTTTGATATTTTTTCGGAAAAAAGGACAAACGGTGAAAATTCGGAAAAAGAAAAGAAGGAAAAAATGAAAAAAATAACGAAAAAAATGTTTGGAGAGAAAATTTTTTTTTTCCGAAAAAAAAATTTACAAGGTGACATAAAATGCGTGAATTATTATTACAGTCAAACCTGGATAAGCGAGAGTTCAAGGGACCGACAACTTTCTCTCGCTTATAGAGGTTTCTCACTTACCCAGTTTTCACTTACAGAGGTCTAAAAGCAAATTTTTCTCACTTACAGAGGTTTATGAAAAAATGTTATTCAAATTAATATTTTATTGTACATAATTATATAATTTATTAGTTATTTTCTTTTAGTTCACATTATCATTATCATTTATTTAAAATGCTTAAAAAAGTCAGTCATTTTCGTTTGTTTTTTTATTCTAATATTGTCAACTTCTTTCTCTAGAGCATAAATTTTATTGAAAACAGACTTATCAACATTTTTAGAAAATTCCAAGAAACGATGAACAGTCTCTAAAGCTTTTAAAGTTTCTTGTTTATTTGGAAAAAGTTCTTCTCTTTTAGTCAAATTTTTGTTTTCTTCATTATCATCTTCATTATCATCATCATCATCATCGTCATCATCATCATTTTGGCCGTGGTTAAATTGGCTATTATGTCGTTATCCGTGAGTTCTCCTGTAACTGTCACATTGTCATCTACTCTAACAAAATCTTCGAAAGTTGGATTTTCAATGTTATGTTCACAAGGCAAGAGTGTATTCCAATCCTCGATACTAGGGACTTCAACATCATCTTCTTCTGTCTGGTTTCCCACGTCAGTGCAAAATCCAGCTTTTTTAAAGCAATTCTTGATGGTGACGTCGCTTATTGAGTACCATGCTTTGCTAGCGAACTTTATAGCCAGAAGTACGTTTATTTCAGGCTTCATATTTTTTTCTAAACATGTCAAAACATGCTTCACCACTTCTTTGCGATAATGTCTCTTAAAAGCATGAATTACTCCTTGATCTAATGGTTGCAAGTGGCTGGTAGTATTGGCAGGTAAAAAAATAACATTCACATTTGCGAGAGTTGGTAAATCTGTATGTGCAGTGCAATTGTCCATAAAAATAACAATTTTTTTTTTTTGGTCTTCATATTTTTATCAATTTTCTGTAGCCACCCTTTAAATATTCCTCTTGTCATCCAAGCTTTTGAGTTGCTTTCATAATCTACAGGTAGGGTTTTTACACCTGCAAGTAAAAATTATGTATTGAATTTTAAGATAATAAAAGACTTGACTGGACTTAAAAGTAAAAATTACTCTCATCATTTTTTGACAGGTAAAATAGTTAAAATAAGGTTTAAGACGAGTTTCAATTTTATCGTTTTAAAAGACTCAGTTTAAGTCAGCAAAAGGCTAAAAACTTGCAAAATCTTGCGAACCGTAGTTTTATAACTAAAAGAAATTTCAAACAAAAAAATTTTTATAATTTTAATAAAAAATTAATTTTTTTGTTACTTTTCAATTAAAATAGGAAATATAATACACAAGAACATATAAAAAACAAACCTTTAAAACATCGAGGTCGTTTTGATTTTCCAATGACGAGTAAAGGCAATTTATTTGTACCAGTCATATTTGCACATTGAAGAATAGTAATACGTTCCTTACTTTGTTTTCCTCCGTGGCACTTTTCTCCTTGAAAGGCAAATGTTTTGTTTGGTAAACACTTAAAAAACAAACCAGTCTCGTCTGCATTATAAATGTCCTCTGGGTCATATTCTGTTAAAAGATTCGGTAGATCTTTAGTCCACTGATTGCATACACGTACATCCACAGATTTGCTTTCTCCAGATAATGTCTTAAAAACTATATCATGCCGTCTTTTAAAACCCTCAAACCAGCCGTTACTAGCTGAGAAGTCTTGTATTCCTATTTTTGTCGCAAAATCTCTGGCTTTTTCTTTTAATAACGGGCCATCCATGGGAATATTTTTGTCGCGGATTTCTTTTATCCATTCTAACAGACAATTTTCAACGTCAGAAAATTCAATTTTTCGGTTTCTCTTAATGTTTCCATGTCCTTCAGCACATCGACTCTTTATTGAATCTTTTTCTTTTAAGATTTTATAAAAAGTAGACTCCGGCAAATTAAACTCACTCGCTATTTCTTTTCGTGATTTTCCGCGCTCGAATTCATTTATTATTTTAAGTTTATCACTCAGAGAAATCACGTTAATTTTTCGTTTGGGCATTATTAATTCACAAGAGACTCTCACTGCCAAGTTAACTATTCAAAATTCGTTTATTAACTGAAAAGAAAATTGTTTGCATTGTATACACTGGGTGTATATCTACGGTAATGGCTAATTATCTTTATTTTCATTTTAGAAAAGTAAGCAAATGCTATTAGAGACAAAAACAAAAGACATTTTGATAAAATTTTAGGAATATATACAGACAAGTCTCTCTCGCTTATAGAGGTCCGAGAGCGACTTCTCTCACTTATAGAGGTCCGGACGAGCAATGACTCTCGCTTACAGAATCTCACTTATAGAGGTTTTTACATGTAAAAATGAAGGGACCGAGAAATTTCTCTCGCTTATAGAGGTTTCTCGCTTATCCAGTTCTCGCTTATCCAGGTTCGACTGTATATATTAATTTCCTTCTACTTTGACGGGGATTTTTTTTTTATTTTTTTTTTTTTAATATATTATTATCGTCACCAGAACAGACGTGCTTATTTGCATCGAGCTCAATGATAAGGTCTTTTGTAATTGAAGTGGAGCAGATCGTGTGCTCTCGTTCAATGTAGTGTGTTTCACACTCCTCTAACACACGTGACTATTTTTATTCTAAACTGAAGAGAAGAGAAAAAAAGAGAGAGACAGAGAATTGTTAAGCCTATTACTTTGCTAAGTAAACATGCTAATCCGATTGTATCGAGAGGTGCTTACTTTCGCACGTTTTAACCATTAGCAATCGTCCAATGATATATTTTCATAGTTTATTTTTTCTTTTCTTTTTCTTTTCATTTTTTGTTAGAGAAAAAAAAATGAATCTGTTTATTTATCAAAGGTGAACAAAAAAAAATTTTTTTTTATTATTTTAAGTAGATGAGAAAAAAAATTTTTTTTATACAAAAGACACGCATGTTATCGATTTAATTTGATTTAATGTTCATCAACATAGAGCAAAAAGAATGGATACGAAAAAAATAACAAAAATTAATAAATAAATGAAAACAATTCAAAAAAAAAAAAAAAATCAGAGAAGTAAATTTATTTACTTATTTATTAAGTATTAAAATCTAAATAAATTATTCAAATTAATCTAAAGATAAGTGAAAATAAATGAATAGAAAAAAAAATTTTATTTTATAAAAATAAACAGCTAAATAAGTAAATAAATAAAATAATAAACAAAAACAGTGAATTAAAATATAGAAATAAATATAAATTAACAAATTAAAAAAAAGTAAATGAAAATAAATAAATTAATAAACAAAAAAATTACGAAACAGTGAATGAAAATATACAAATAAATATAAATAAACAAATAAATGAAAACAGTAAATTAAAATAAAAAAAGTAAATAATAATTATACAAAAATAAATAAACTAAATAATCATATGAATAAATAAAAATAAATAAAAATAAATAAAACCAGTGAATTAAAATATAAAAATTAGTATAAATAGAGAACAATAAATAAAAAGACAATAAATAGAAAAAAATAAATAAAAATCAATAAATAAAACTAAAGAAATAAAAAAAATCGTTAAATATTAAAAAAAAAATTTTTTTCAATAAATCAATTTTATTCCCTTCCATCGAAGAAATTTTATTTTTAGTAACATCGACACAATCTTTATGTATAAAACGAGATTAAATAATGGAAGATAAAAATAAACGAGCCGAAGAAGAAGAAAAAAATTGTCTCTTGAATTTTTATTGTGAATCGTTCGCTCGCCTCAATGATTTCATGTGTCATTAAATTGTATACAATGCTGAGAATCACAACTTTTGCACGTTTGTTAATTACTTGTTTATTTTTTTTCAATCCATTATTTTTCTCCTTTAACGAGATTTTTTATTAAACAAAAAAGAAGAAATAGAAAAAAAACAACAGAAAATGAGTTTAAAATAAATGTGCAATTCACTGGAACCTTGAAAGAAAAAAATTATGATAATATACTTTGTTGGTTATTATTAATTTTTTCTCACTATTGTTCGTGTTAGAATTGACATATTTTTTTTTACTTAACCTCAAAATTAGAATTTTTAAAAAATATTATTTAGTACCTAGGGAAATAAATTTTTGTAATTTAGAATCAATTTTTGCCATTCTGTAGACTCGATTGAGATGATTTTGATGATTTTTCATTGAGATTTGAAGAATTTATTGTTATTTTAAATTTCGAGTTGGGGGATTTTTTTTAAAGGGAAAATTAGAAATATTCTGATCGAATCTAATTTTCTTATCTGTTTTCTAAGGACAGTTGTTTACATTCATTGAATTTTAACCTCGAACGTGTGTTTCGTAGAAAAACTATTTTTTAGACCTACATAACCTCAATATTCAATGGTATTTCTATTTTTCTTTTATTTCTAGTCAAGGAAATAAGCTTTTGCAATTTCTAGCCAAATTCTGCCATCTCGTAGAATCCATTGAGATGATTTTGAACATTTTTCATTGAGATTTGTCAAATTTATCGGCATTTTAAATCTCGAGGTGGAGAATTTTTGTCAAAATTTGAAAATCTTCTTGTATTCTGTGTCAATTGTGGACTAATAAAGGTATTTTTTCAAGTACCTTTAATGAATATTACCCCCCCCCCTTTCACTATTTTCCCGTCAAACCATTTGATAACCTACATAACCTCAAAATTGAAACGTTTTTTACATTCTATTTTTGTTTCTAAACAAGAAAATTTTTTTCTTAATTTCTAGTCGATTCTTGCCATCCCGTAGAATCCATTGAGACGATTTTGAACATTTTTCGTCGAGATTTGCCAAATTTATCGGCATTTTAAATCTCGAGGTGGGGAATTTGAGGCAAATTATTAAATTTTCCTTGTAAAATTGGTCAAATTTGAGCTATAGTTTATGAGAATACTTATTTATATTTAATATATGTTAGCCCCTTTAGTACTTTTACGTTAAAACTAGCACTTTAAAATCTTAACCTCAAAATTTACAATATTTATTATTTTATTTTTCACTTAATTTTTTTCTACAGAAGGGAATAAATTTTTACAACTTATTACCAATTTTTGCCATTCCGTATTTTTCATTGCTACCAATGTGGACATTTTTCGTCAAATATTCTCAAATTTATCGCAATTTTAAAAATTGAGGTGGACAATTTTCTGCTAAAATGTGTCAAATTCGGACTTTTTGAATCAATGTCTCTCTTGTTTTATTCAAATCTCTAATATTTGTTCAAAATACAATCGATACACTAAATTGCTACAAATAATACAGCGAATAATACAAAATAACCTCAAAATTGACAAATGTTTTTTACTCTAATTTCTTTTCTACAGAGGGAAATAAATTTCCTTAACTTGCTATCAATTTTTGCCATTCCGTATTTGCCATTTCTACCAATGTGGACATTTTTCGTTAAATATTCTCAAATTTATCGCAATTTTAAAACTCGAGGTGGATAATTTTCTGGTAAAATATGTAAATTTCGGACTCTTTCGTTACGATTTTAAAAATTGTATAAATTACAATCGATACACTAAATTACTACTTACTATTACAGCGAATTACAAAAATAACCTCAAAATTCGGATTTTTTATTGTTAAATTCTCATCGGGAGTAAAATGAAAATTTTTTTTTCAAACTGTCATCTACTTTTGCCATCCCAAAGATTGTATTTGTCTTAAGAAAACATATTTTTAGCCACTTCTGTAAGATTTATCGAAAATTTAAAATTTGAGGTGGTGGAAAAATGTTGTTTTTCGTTAATTTCTAGGAAAATTGATGACTTTTCCTAAAAATGACTATTTTTGTCTACTTTTGCCATTCCAAAGATTGTATTTGTCTCAAGAAACCACATTTTTAGCCACTTTTGTAAATTTTATCGAAAATTTAAAATTCGAGGTGGAGGAAAAATGATGTTTTTCGTTAATTTCCATGAAAATTGGTGCCTTTTCTTAGAAATGACAACTTTTGTCTACTTTTGCCATCCCAAAAATTCTATTTGTCTCAGAAAAACATATTTTAAGTCACTTTTGTAAAATTTATCGAAAATTTAAAATTCGAGGTGGAGGGAAAATGACGTTTTTCGTTAATTTCTGGGAAAATTGGTGACTTTTCTTAGAAATGACAAAGTTGTTGGGGGGAAGGGGGATGGTTTAATATTAACTCGTCGCACAGTGAGCAATAGAAAAGAAATTCTCAGTGTAATACTACATATAAGCGTCTCGACCTGACGGTTACGCGAGGGGTGCCTATTAGAGGGGTAGATACGTGGTTTGGTATTAGGGGAGAGACCTTGGAGGGTTCTGATATAAAAGAATCTTTGGGAACCGGCTTCAAGATTCGATCACAGGCTCGAGTCGGACGTTATGAGACAACGTCTCCCTCTCTCTCTCTCTCTCTATTTCTCTCTTTCGTTCTCTCTCTCTCTCTCTCTTTCTCTCTCGTTCTCTCCGAAAATGGACATATTACTAATTCTAGGGTCGTGGACCTTATGGGAACCTGTAAAATACCTGGCAATAATAAATCTCTAATCTGAGAAAATTTACCTCTCAAACCTAACCTCACTTTTTTATTTATTTTTTTGAACACGAAGTTTCTTAATGGAATAATTTTTTTTCTCGACAGACAAAATCTTGCTACTCTGAATTAACAAATCATGAAAAATTATTAATATTCCCGAAAAATGAGGGGGAGGATTTTTGATATTTACTTTTCGAGGTGGCACCACCTGGAAAGTTTATCAACCCACAAAATTGGTAATTATTAACATAAAGTGGTAATTTTTTCGAGAAGTGAAAATTGGCGAGTGAACCATTGAAAATCTGGTGGAAATATTAAATTTCCTTGAGGGAGAAAAAAATTACAGCAAAAACAAAATTTCCCAAATTGCACAAAGGGAATTTCTTTGATAATTTAGTGAATAATTTTTTTTTTAACGAATCGTTTATAGAGTCAAATTTTGCAAGAGGAGCAATGTGAATGATGAGTGTGTGTGTGTGTGTGTGTGTTTGGTATTGGAGAGATTTTAATTCCCTACGGAGAATCGATACGAGGCATGTGACTGAAGACACGTGATCTATTAATATTATTATCGCATGTGGTGCAGAAGGAGACACGAGGGCTTGTGAAGCTCTCCTGTGTTTGTTATGTGTCAGATACATACGAGAAATGACCATACGAGGAGCGTAAACTGTATTTCGTCATTTTCACCACCACCAACCACCCTCTCACATTTTTTTCCCTCTTTTTACATCCCTCGTGAGACTAATCGTTCACCCACGTAATTAACTCAGTCTCTCGTTATAACGTTTTGCATTTGTCAATTTTCCTTTCCCCCCCCCTCCTCCCTCCCTCTTTTTCGATCCACAGTTTACATAACCTCACTTTAATTGCTCTAATTAGTAATCAATTCGCTAATTACTGTGAAAAAATATTCATTATATTTGAAAAAAAAAATTCATAACAAGAAAAAAGCAGTTTTTTTTTGTTAATAATAAAATCGTTAATTTAAAGTCGTGAGATGGTGGTGCATTTATTTTTCGTAATTATTACTTTTTCTGTAATTTTTAATAATTTAAAATAATTGTGTTTTTGTGATATTTTAAAATAGTGCGGCGACCAAAAACAAATAGAAGAAAAATTTGTTAATTTAAACAAGTGTCGTCGGGGGGACACTGAAATAACCTGAAAAAACAGGAATTTTCTCCACCTCAAATTTTCTTTTGACGATAAATTTCGAGATTTTGGAAAATTTTTCATTTTTCTTGTTGTTATGCATTCTTCTCGATGGCAAGATTAAGATCTGTGTTATATTTCTTTTGTGTTTTTGATTGTACTATTTTTTTTCGACAATTTTGAATTGCGAAAATTTCATTTAATTAGAAAAATAATTTTTTAACTCAACAAAAATCCTTTTTTTTTTGATTAAATAGAAATTTATTTATATAAAAATATTTTGTTATCAAAAATATTTTGTATAAAAAATAATTTGTTATAAAAAATATTTTCTATAAAAAAAATTTTGTTATGAAAAATATTTGTATAAAAAATATTTGTTTACATAAAAATTTTCTTAAATAAAAATTCGTTTTACTGTAAAAAATTTCGTTTATTTATAATCGTTTTTAATTAATGTTTATTAATAACAATTCTTTACTAATTAATGAATAATAATTAACTAATATTTCTTTTTCATAAAAATATTTTTTATATACAAATAATATTGTTTACAAAAAAATAGTTTTTTCTGTAAAAATATTTTTTATTTGTTAATACAAAAATATTTTTACTATAAAAATTTTGTTTACATAAAAATTTCGTTTACAAAAAAATAGTTCTTTGTTTAAAAATATTTTATGTTATGATAGAAAAAAGTAAAATTATAAACATAAATAAATTTTTTATTTATAATTGTTATTAATTAATGTTTATTAATAATTATTATTAATTAATTAATTAATAACAATTCAAAATTGTTTATATATAAATATTTTTTATATAAAAACTTTTGTTTTTAGAAAAATAGTTTTTTGTGCAAAATTATTTAATGTTATGATAGAAAAACATAAAATTAAAAATATAATTATATTTTATTTATATTGGTTATGAATTAATATTAAATAATAACAATTAATAATTGATTAATAAATAATAATTAAATAATATTTGTTTATATAAAAAATTTGTTTACATAAAAATAGTTTTTTATTTATATTCGTTATTAATTAATGTTTATTAATAATAATTATTAATTAATTAATAAGTTACTAATAATCGTTAATTAATATATAAATAATAATTAATTAAGTAATAAATAAATAATAATTATTAATTATTAAATAAATAATATTTAATTAAGTAATAAATAAATAATAATTATTAATTAATAAAAAAATTATATTTAATTAATATTTGTTTATTAAAAAATATTTTTTATATAAAAATTTTGTTTTTGAAAAAAATTTGTTTTTTGTTGTAAAAAATATTTTTTATTCAAAAATTTTTTTTCCAAAAAAATAGTTTTTTGTGTGAAAATATTTAATGTTATGATAGAAAAATAATAAAATTGAAAATATAATAAAAATTTTTTTAATATTTATATTCGTTATTAATTAATTTTCCCAATTTTTTTTTTTTTTTGTTACAGAAAAGAGAGAGATCTCCGGGCAAAAGAATGGAGCGTCTCAGGAGAAGTTTTCGGGAGAGTTTTCGAAGAAGGAAAGATCCACATGTTCCGGAATCGAGTAAACCGCATCAGTGGCAAGCTGATGAAAGTGCCGTTAGATCGGCAACTTGTCAATTTCACGTTAAGGTAAAAAGAGAAAAAAAATTAATAAAAATTTAAATTAGAAAACTCTTTTTGTTTCACAAATGAATTTTTGTTATTTTCAAGTTTTCTCTACTTTTTTTCTCTTCTTTTTTCACGAAAATCTAATTTCACTTTTCACCATATTTTTCATTTTTATTTTTACTTTTTATTTTTATTTTCCCTTTTTTTATTGTTATTTTATTATTATTTAATTTAATTTTAATTATTATTATTTTATTTTTTTATTAGACATTTAATTTAATTTTTATTTTTTAAAACAAACTAAATAAAAATTTTTTTTTACTTTCAAATATTCATTTTTTTCACTTTACATAAACCTAACCTCACTTTTTTCAACTTCTTCCAATTTTAACAAACTTTACCGCATTGATTTTGTTTTTTTCAAAATGTGAAACAATTTTTGCCATTCCAATATTTAAATATTTGCAAAATTTAACAAAAAATATAAAGTTTTAATGGAAATTCTATGCTAATAAATTCTTGAGGTGTGGCACCACCTGAAAAGTTTGGAGGTGCGCCATTTCGATTGATATTTATATTAATCGATAAATTTTGCATTTGACAAAAATTGACCAGTGAACCATTTCGAAACAGTATATTAATTTGTTAAAGAAATAATTATTAATTTAAAAAATAGCTATTTTGTATTTTTACAATGAAAAAAAAATTATTTAATTAAATATTAAAGTTGATTGATTTTCTATTTTTCAGTACTTAGGTTGCGTTGAAGTTTTCGAATCGAGGGGAATGCAGGTTTGCGAGGAAGCCCTGAAGGTTCTTAGGGTAAGAAAAAGAAAATCAATAATTATTTTCATCCTTGTTGTAAATAATAATATAGTAATAATTTTTGTCTCGCACAATTTTTCCCTTTACGTAAATTATTAATATTAACTTTTTACATTTACAATTTTTTTTTTTTTTTTAAATCAAAAAGTAACAAATGAAACAAAAAATTTTTTTTTAATTAATGAAATAAATTTCAAATTAAATTTTATTATTTCCGCAACAAAAGTATGAATTACAATTTAGATAAAAAATAATTCAATGATTTCAGTAATGAAAAAAAGGAACAATATTTTTTAATTGTTTCATTTGCTTTCGAGTTCTTCCATGTGCAAAAATTGACTTTCATTTTTAGAACGACTCCCACAAAGTTGTTCGTGAATTCAAATAGCCGAGAAAAATTACGAATTTAAACGCAACATTCACGTCATTCTAAATTTAAATTCTTTCATCATTCAGAATTTTGGATAAAATTGATTTTGATATTAATTTGATAATTCAATTATAAAAATATTTTACTTCATTAAATTAATTAATATTATTATTTTTATTGTTAATTATTAATATTCATTTAAATGTAATGTTTAATTCATTATATTATTATTAAAAAAAAAAAAAAATTATTTATAAATAATTATTAATATTTATTGAAATATAATATTTAATTAATAATGTTAAATACCATAAATTATTAAAATAATTTTTTTGAATTTTTAATAAAATAAATAAACAAAATAAAAATATTTAACCAATAATTTATTATTAACATATTTTTTTAATAGATTTTAATATATTTTTATTTTCATTTTCCTTTTCATTGAATTTTTTCAAGGCTATTTTTCTTTTTTGCTGCTAAAACGAAAGCCTCGTCTGATTGAGTATTGATTTTGCAGAATTCGAGACGGAAACCCATCAGGGCCACCCTACACGTTTCCGGCGACGGTTTAAGGGTAGTCGAGGATGAAACAAAGGGTTTACTTGTCGATCAAACGATAGAAAAAGTCTCATTTTGTGCTCCAGATCGAAATCACGAAAAGGGTTTCAGTTATATTTGTCGAGATGGCACCACACGACGGTGGATGTGTCACGGGTTTCTTGCTCTAAAAGAGTCGGTAAGTCAGAATTCTTTATAATTAAAAAAAATTTTTTTTTAATTCTTTTTTTTGTATTTTGTATTTTTTTTTATTTTTTGTATTTAAAAATAATATTCATTTATATTTTTACATTATCAAAATTTGTTATTTTCATTGGAATTATTTTCTTTATTAGAGACAATATTTTTTTATTTATTTAATTTATTTCTCTAAGTGAACATAACCTCAAATTTTCTTCACTTCAAATTTTCATTTGTTCGTAAAATTTACAAAAATTGTTGTTTTCTGTTTTTGTTTGTTTTATCGCTTTCTACGCAATGGCAAGAATTGAAAAACTACTGACTTAACTATTTAAATGAACATAACCTCAAATTCCTTCCACTTCGAATTTTTATTTGTTCGTAAAATTCTTGAAATTTGTTATTTTAAGTTTCTGATTGCTTTATCACTTTCTACGCAATAGCAAGAATTGATAAACCATCATTCCAACTTCCCAAGTGAACATAACCTCAAATTTCCTCCACTTCAAATTTTCATTTGTTCGTAAAATAAAGAAAAATTAATTTTTTCGCTTACTGTTTGTTTTATCGTGTTCTACCAAGTGGCAAGAATTGATAAACCACTGTTAACTAAAATTTCTCAATAATTCGATTTAAAAAAAAATTTTTTTTTGTTTTCAATACAATTAATTATCGATTCCTTTCACAGGGTGAAAGACTGAGTCACGCAGTGGGATGTGCATTCGCTGCATGCTTAGAAAGGAAACAACGTCGAGACAAAGAATGTGGAGTTACAATGACCTTCGACTCTAAGACGTCGACTTTTACAAGAAGTGGCAGCTTCAGGCAACCGAGCCTTACCGAAAGGCTACAGGACTCACGAGAACGTGCCGTTGGTGAGTTTATTTTATCAATTTTTTTTTATTTTTTAAAAAATTTTTTTACCCACCGAGACTAAATACAATAAATTGTGAAATAATAATTCTGTTTTTAGAAAATAGTCTCAAAATACGAAATAGTATTTGCGAATTTAAATTATAAGGAGGTAAAATAAATTTATCATTATAAACTAAAAATAAATTTATGGAAAAGTAAAAATTAAAGAAGCAAAAATAAAAAAAGTAAAAATAAGAAAGTAAAAAAGAAGTAAAAATGTAAAAGTAAAGAAGTAAAAAGAAACAATGTAAAAATAAATATATGGAAAAGTAAAAATAAAAAAGTAAAAAAAAAGTAAAAATGTAAAACTAAAAAAGTAAAAAAAAACCATGTATAAATAAATATATGGAAAAGTAAAAATAAAAAAGTAAAAAGAAAAAAAGCAAAAGTAAAAAAAAAAGTAAAAATGTAAAAGTAAAGAAGTAAAAAAACAATGTGAAAGTAAATAAGTGGATATAAACAAAGTAAAAATAAAAAAGCAAAAATAAAAAAAGCAAAAGTAAAAAAATTTAGACAAAACAAAATTAAGCAAGTTAAAAAAAATAAAAAGAAACAATGTGAAAGTAAACAAAGTAAAAGTAAAGAAATTAAAAATTAACAAAGTAAAACTGAAAAGTAAAAGGAATAACAAAAGAAGTTGAAAAAGTAAGAATAAAGAAAGTAAAAATATAAAAATTTAAAGTATACAAATGAATAATAAATAAGCAAAAATATAAAAAATAAATGTAAACAAAGTGAATGAAAAAAGGTAAAAAAATACAATGTAAATGTAAACCAAGTTGAAGTAAAAATAAAAAAAAGTAAAACTGAAAAGGGAAACAAAATAAAAATAAAGAAAACTTAAAAAATGTAAAATAAAATTAAAAAATTGTAAACATAAACAAAGTAAAATTTAAAAAAGTAATAAAAATAAAAAATTTTAAATTAAGCAATGTATAAATACAAACGTTTTAATAAAATTAATAAAAGTAAAATAAAAAAAATAAAAAATTGTAAACACAAACAAAGTTAAATTAAAAAAAATTAAAAGTAAAATCAAAAAATTAAAAAAGTATAATTAAAAAAAGTAAAAATTGGAAAAGAAAAAGTAAATAAAGCAAAATTAAAGAAAGAAAAAACAAAAAGAAAAATTAAGCAAAGTAAAAATACAAAAATTTAAAATAAACAAAAGAACAGTAAAAAATAAAAGTAAACAAAACAGAATTAAACAATGTAAAAATTAAAAAACAATGTAAAAGTAAACAAAGGAAAGGTGAAGAAAGTAGGAATAAAGAAATTAAAAAATGTAAAATCAGAATAAAAAATTGTAAATATAAACAAAGTAAAATTGAAAAAGTAGAAGTAAATGAAGTAAAATTTTAAAAAGTTGATGTAAGTAAAGTAAAATTAAAAAAAGTAGAAGTAAGGAAAGTTAAAATTCAAAAGGTAAAATAAACAAAGCAAAATTAAAGAAAGTAAAAATAAAAATGCAAAATAATCAATGTAAAAATACTAAAATTTAAAGTAAACAAGGAAATAATAAAAAAAATTAGATTAATTTTAGTGAAAGTAAAATAAAAATTAAAAAATTGAAATATACAAAATAAAAGAAAGGAAAAATAAAAAGTAAAACTACTTATACTTTAAAATATAATTAAATTTCAAAAAAAGTAAATATATGATAAGTGTAAAAATTAAAAATTGTAAATATAAAAACAAAAGAAGAAAAAATTTAGTAAATAAAAAAAAATAAAAAAAATTTTATTTATTTAAATAAGCGTGAAGAATCAAAGATTAAACAGAGAACAATTTTTGAAATGTAAAAATAATAAAGAAAGAATGTAAAATTTTGCGAAAATTATAAAAATAAAAGAGTAAAAAATTCGAAAAAGAAAAGTTTTTGTATTTTTATATTTTTATTTTGCTTATTTTACTTTTTTATTTTTATACTTTCTTCAATTTTACTTTGTTTACTTTTACTCTTAGAAGTTTTACATTTTTTATTTCTATACTTTTTTAATTTTACTTTCTTCATGTTTAAATTTTTTTATTTTTACTTTAAAAAATATGTAAGTATACAAAAATGTTAAAAAAAACATAAAAATGTAAAAATAAAAACATAAAATAAAAACAATTTAAGTAAAAATGTTAAAAATTAATAAAAATCATAAAAATAAAAATATAAAATAAAAACAATATATAAGTGAATCAAAAATGCAAAAAAATGTAAAATAAAAATAATTTCACATAAAATAAAGACAATCTAAGTAAAAATGTTAAAAAATAATAAAAATCGTAAAAATAAAAATATAAAATAAAAACAATATAAGTGAATGAAAAATGTAAAAAAATTAAAAATTAGAAATTATTTTTGTTGAAATTTACAAGTGCTTCTTACTTTAAATTTATTTTTATTTCGCGGTTAAAATAAAGCCACGTTGCAGACTCACTAGTCACGTGATGCTTCGAGACTAATTTCTCAATGACTCAGCTATTTTTCAGTTTCCGTTTTGTTCCATGACTTGTCGAAAGCGTCGAAAGCATGGCTTGTCTCACTTTTATTTTATATCGATTACAAATATATAATTCGTACGTAATTTTTTATTCACGTGTAATTTAAAAATATAAAAAAAAGAAAGTAAAATAAAAATAATATATTTTTAATTTTCTAGACGTTCCTCCAGTGAAGCCTGTCTACAATCCATTTGCAATTGAAAGGCCCCACGCGACGCCATCAATGCTGGAAAGACAAGGATCATTTCGTGGATTTAATCAATTAAATCAAGCCTCACCATTTAAACGACAGCTCAGTTTACGTATTAATGATCTTCCTAGCAATTTAGAACGCACGCGAAGTCACAGTTTAGAACCCACGGATCTCTCTCGAATGCCAGCATTGTCGCATCTTTTACCTCTAAAACCACCGGGTGAGTTTCTGAAATTTGCCAATTTTTCTAAATTATTTTCGAGAAACAAAATTTTTTTTTAAATTTTCCAAAAAAATACTAAATAAAAAGAAATTTTTTTTTAAATTCTCTTTTGTTTAGAAAATAAAAATTTGATACATTTTTTTTAAAAACTAGCAACAATTCGTGCGCTTACGCACAATTATGTTAAATTACCAAAAAAATCTCGACAAAATCCGAATTATTATCTTTATAAAAAAATTTAAAAAATTTTAAAAAATAAAAAAAACGCTTCAAAATTCAATTATTTTCAAAAATTTTCCTCATTTCAATGATTCTTAATATCTATTTTCATAAAATTACCCAAAAGAATTCAATTATTTAAAAACAATTTTAATAAAATTGCACCCAATCATTTAATTATTTTCATAAATAATAAAAATTTCACAGGAATTCAATTATTTATAAATTATTATATTCATTTTTTTTCAAAAATAATAAAATACTCATCGCAGAATTTTAATTATTTTTAATACAATTTTAATTGAATTCCTTGAAAAATGTAACTATTCTAAAAACTAAAAAAAATTTATTAAAATTCACCAAAAGAATTCAATTATTTAAAAATTTGTTAATAAAATTCTTTACGAGAATTCAATTTAATAAAATTTCCCAAAAGAATACAATTGTTTAAAAACAAATTTGAATTCTACACGAATATTCAATTATATTTTCTAAAATAATGAAAATTTCATAGGAATCGAATTATTAAAAATAGAATTTGCTGAAATTTTTTATAAAATTATTTGCAATAATTCAATTATTTTCATAAATAATAAAACACATCGCAAGAATTTTAATTATTTTCAAAACTTTTAAAAAAATTCTTTGCAGAAATTCAATTATTTGCAAAAAAAAGTAATAAAATTAATTCACAGGAATTCAATTATTTTCAGAAAATAAAAAATTCTTAGCAGGGAAAAAATTATTTTTAAAAATTAATAAAATTCTTAGTAAGAATTTAATTATTTTTCAAAAATTATTAATTTTTTTATATCAGAAATTTAATTATTTTCATAAATTAATAAGATTCATAGCAAGAAATAAATTACATTCAAAATTTTTACTAAAATTCTTCGCAAAAAAATCAATTATTTTCAAAAGTAGGTAATAAAATTCTTGTCATAAAATTTAATTATTTTTAAAATTTACGAAAAAATTTTGACAAAATCCCAATTATTATCTTTATAAATAAAAAATTCTTTTTCAAAATTCAATTATTGTTTTCAAAAATTTTAATAAAATTTTTGTCAAAATTTCAATTATTTTTAAAAATTGACCTCATTTCAATGATTTTCAATATTTACTATTTTAATAAAATTACCCAAAATAATTCAATTATTAAAAAACAATTTTAATAAAATTCTTTGCAAACATTTAATTATTTTCACAAATAATAAAAATTTTACAGGAATTCAATTATTTAAAAATTTTTTGTAAGTTTCTTCTTAATAATTCAATTATTTTCAAAAATAATAAAATTTTTGACAAGGATTCAATTATTTTTAATACAATTTTAATTGAATTCTTTGAAAAATTTAAATATTCTAAAAAATTGTATTTAAATTTGTCAAAAAAATTCAATTATTTAAAAATTTGTTAACAAAATTCTTTATAAGAATTAAATTTTAAGAAACATTCAATTATTTAATAAATAATTTACTGTTGTATTTAAATAATTGAATTCTCGTAGAATTTTCTAATAAAAATTGATTTTAAAATGAATTTTAGTTTAAATTTTAGATAATAATAGAATATGAAAATAAATTTTAAGAAGTTACAGTGACAATATTTTAATAATATAAAATAATAATTTTAACACTCGATCCTCTTTATGTTTTATAACAATATTTTTAAAGTTGATTATTTTCAAAAAGGTTTTAATTTGAATGTTTTAAAGAATTTTAATTCCTATGGAAAAATAATAATAATTAAATATTTTTAAAAATTTTAAAAAGAAATTATTGTTTTCGAATAATTTTACAATTAAAGATATTTGTAAATAAATTTAACAGAACATTTTTTTCAATAAAATATTTTCCTGTATTTTCTAAAAATACAAAAATTTTTAGTTTCATTTTCAATTAAATTTTCCAATTGACAAATATAATTTATTTAAACATTTTTTTTCTTTATTTTTAAAAAACTGAATTTTGGTAAAACAATTGAAATTAAGAAATAGAATTGAAAATTCTATTTCTATTCTTTCCTTATGAAAATTGAGAATTTTCTAGAAAAATATATTAAGAAACGAGAATATCTAATTATTTTCTTCCCAAAAGAAAAAAATGAGTTTGTAAACAATATTTTGTTATTGAGAAATAAGAATTATGCATAAAATGAGTATATTTCCTAGTTCTTAATAAAAAATTTTTAACAATTAACAATTTTCTATTTTTTATAAATAAAAAGGAGAAAAAAATTGCTTAATTTAGATCAGACAAACGAAATTTGTTATAGAAAAAAAGCATATAACAAACAAAATGTGTATATTTTAAAATTTTTTATTCATAATTTTTTTTTAAATTTTCTAATTTCTAATATTTTTTTTTATTATAAATCATGAAAAAAATACCTGTTTATTTTTGATTTGTCAAAGAATATTTAAAAAAAACAGAAGCAATTAAAATTTGAATAAATTGTTTAATATAAAAAAAAATAATTTTTTTGTTGGTGTTCCTGTGACAAACAGAATTCGATGGATATGACGAAGGTCATTACCAAATTTCATTCGTCAATATTAATATATGCCTGCTTGCCACCCTTTTTAAGTTTTTATTTAGTTTTTTTTCTATACTAAATACTTCAACTGGCGATTTTAATGATTATTTTCATTTTTTTAAAATCGCTCCCGAAGTTTCAATACATGTTCTGTAGGTCCCAGTAGTTTAGAAGTAGCAGTAAAATTAAAAAAAAAAAAAATTTTTTTCAAATTAATTTTTTGTTGTTGAAATTATCAAGTACTCGATAAATTGATATTTAATCGATTATTTCGATAAATCGATATTTTAATGATTTTTTCTTTTAATCGAATGCTTAAACGTTCGTCTCGAGAAATCGATTGATATTTGAACGTTCGTTTCGATAAATCAATTATTTCGATCAATCGATATATAAACGTTTGTTTTGATAAATCGATTGATATTTAAACGTTCATTTCGATAAATCGATTATTTCGATAAATCGATATATAAACGTTTGTTTCAATAAATCGATATTTAATCGTTTGTTTCAATAAATCGATATTTAAACGTTTGTTTCGATAAATCGATATTTAATCGTTCGTTTTAATAAATCGATATTTAAATGTTTATGTCGATTAATCGATATATTATAAGATTTGTTGAGAATACGATACTATCGATTAACTTGTCAATCTGTTTTCGATTTTTTTTGTTACATGGAAGTATATTACTTCTATCGTCGTAAAAATTGATATATTAAATAATGAAGAACATAAATTAAATTTTGTTAAATAATTTAAAGAGAATAAAAATAATTTGTATTTTTTTTATTTTATAATTTTAAAGGGATAAACAATGGTTATATTTTATATCACCAGCACTCTGTGTCGTGAAGCATGTTTTTTTTGTAGGCATCAGCACTGTGCAGCACAATTATAATAAATAAATATATAAATATATGTAAATAAGAAAAAATTATAAAGTACTAGAAATATGGAAAATAGTATTTTTTTTGTTCTCTTTATTGCATGATGATTTTTAGGAAAAATTTTTAAAATAATATTTCTTTCTTTTGGAATTAATTTTATAGTGAGCCCCATACCGGAGATATCGCCGAGTGGCCATGAAAGTTTGTCAGCCATGTGTCAACAAGTCACACAAGGTCTTAGTCTTTTATCGAGTAATGATGATTTTGGACCAACGACTATGATTGCTGTGACGAGTACGGTTGCGAAACAACTCTTCACAAGCACCACGACTTCAACGCTTCAAGGTTTGTTATACTTTAAAAATTTTTGTGTTGTCTAATCTCAATTTTATACGCTTCAAAGAAAAATTCTGATTCTCGTGATTTTTTGTTTATATGTTTCTTAAATTGTCGAGATTGATTTTTTTGTTTCCTTGGGCTTTTCTTATTGCGAAAGAACAGGTGTTTTTTTGTTCTAGTTTCATTTACCTCGAAATTTCATCACCTCGAATAATTTTTTGCCCCTATGGTTTAGACATGTTTTTAGTTTCATCAGATTATTGAGTTTTTGGCTTCTAATCAATGGCAAGAATTGGGAAATTGTGTTTACAATGGATTAAAATTGAAATAAAATTCAAATTTTGTATAGAATTGTTTTTTTCCTTTTGTGAAAGCAGTTATTGATAGAATTCTTAAATTACTAAATTTATTAGTTTTAATTAGTAGAAATTCGAGAAAAATTATGATAATTTGGATAAAAGTTAACATAACCTGAAAATACTCCACCTCGAATTTTATTTTTTCTCTAGATTGAAGAAATATTTTTTGATTTGTTAGTTTTTTGGTGTTATTGATTCTACTCGGTGGCAAGAGTTGAAAAATGTTCGTAACTTTAGTTAGAATAATTCTAACCTCGAAATTATCCACCTCGAATTTTATTTTATCTGTAAAAACTGCAAATATTTATATTTTTCATAGTTTGTTAATGCTACGGACTCTACTCGATGGCAAGAATACAAAAATGCGCATAACTTTCGTTACAATTATTCTAACCTCAAAATTCTCCACCTCAAATTTTATTTTATCTGTAAAAACTACAAATACTTATATTTTTCTTAGTTTGTTGATGCTACGGACTCTACTCGGTGGCAAGAATACTAAAATGCGCGTACCTTTAGTTACAATTATTCTAACCTCAAAATTCTCTACCTCGAATTTTATTTTTTCTGTAAAAACTACAAATATGGTTATTTATCTTAGTTTGTTAATGCTACGGACTCTACTCGATGGCAAGAATACAAAAATGCGCATAACTTTCGTTACAATTATTCTAACCTCGAAATTCTCCACCTCGAATTTTATTTCATCTGTAAAAACTACAAATATTTATATTTTTCATAGTTTGTTAATGCTACGGACTCTACTCGATGGCAAGAATACAAAAATGGGCATAACTTTCGTTACAATTATTCTAACCTCGAAATTCTCCACCTCGATTTTTATTTTGTTTGTAAAAACTGCAAATATAGTTCAATTTTTTAGGTTGTTAATGCTTCGGACTCTACTCGATGGCAAGAATTCAAAAATGCGCATGACTTGAATTACTATTATTCTAACCTCGAAATTCTCCACCTCGAATTTAATTTTTTCTATAAAAACCATAAATATGGTTCTTTCTCTTAGGTTGTTGATGCTACAAGTTCTACTCGATGGCAAGAATGAAAAAACTTGCCAAACTTGAGTTACAATGATTCTAACCTCAAAATTCTCCACCTCGAATTTTATTTTTTCTGTAAAAACTACAAATAAAGTTATTTCTCTTAGTTTGGTAATGCTACGGACTCTACTCGATGGCAAGAATACAAAAATGCACATAACTTTCGTTACAATTATTCTAACCTCGAAATTCTCCACCTCGATTTTTATTTTGCCTGTAAAAACTACAAATATGGTTATTTCTTTTAGTTTGTTGAAGCTACTTACTCTATTGAATGGCAAGGATGAAATAGAACTTATATAATTTAAATTAAAATAATTCTAACCTCAAAATCCTCCACCTCGATTTTTATTTTGTCCGTAAAAGGAAAGAATATTTTTTGTATAGTTTGTTAGTTACTGCTACTCGTTCTACTCGATGGCAAGAATGAAAAAGCGTGCCAAATTTGAGTTGCAATGATTCTAACCTCCAAATACTTCACCTCGACTTTTATTTTGTCTGTAAAAACAACAAAAATAGTTCTTTCTCTCAAATTGTTTTTGCTACCTACTCTACTCGATGGCAAGAACAAAATAGAACGGATATAATTTTAATTACTATAATTTTAACCTATAAGTCTTTCATCTCGAATTTTCTTATACCTGTAAAAACCACAAAAATCGTCCTTTCTCGTTGTTTATTAAAGAAGTTGATTCTATGTGTTGGCAAGAGTCGAAGAACATACACAATTTAAATTAAAACTGCCCTAACCTCAAAGTTCTCCACCTCGATTTTTATTTTGTCTGTAAAAACTGCAAATATGGTTCAATCTTTTAGGTTGTTAATGCTATGGTTTCTGCTCGATGGCAAGATCCAAAAATGCTGATAACTTGAATTACAATCATTCTAACCTCAAAATTTCTCCACCTCGAATTTTCTTTTCATCACAAAATTTCCAAATATAAATATTTTTCAATTATTTTTCCACATATTGTTTCTTTTCAATGGCAAAATTATTCCTACAAAAAAAATTTCCCTTTTCTGTAAATATTTTCCCCTCTCTTTTTTTTTGTTCTCTACTAACTAAATTCTTTAATTTTCAGTAACGAATAGCAATTCACTCGACGATATAAAACTACAAAATGGTTCAGAGCAAAATTATGACATTACAACACAACATGAATTGTCATCATCGCCAATTCTGGCGACAAACAATAGACTCACGCCAATATTAAATAGAAGTTGTAATTTGAGTCCAGTTTTAACGAGGACAGGTGTCTCGTCATCATCAGTTGTTATGAGTTCACCAGCGCCAATTACCGGCAGTACATCAGTATTTGGTACATCGGCAGCAAGTCCCGCATTCAGTACAGCGTCAACATCGTCATTAAGTAGCGGTGCACCACTACCACCACCATCGTCATCATCATTATTAAACAGATCTCCAGTTCCTGTGAATCCAATCACAGCATCTGTGACGAGTTCACCGAATGCCAGTGTCACTTCAGTGTCGTCAGCGCAATCGTCAAATGCCTGCGAAGTGAGTCAAATCACCACCATGGCCAATCAGTCTCTAGCGAATGTAAGTTTGCAAACAAAAATTATTTTTTTTTTGGAAGGGGGTTTGGCGCGAAAATCAAATTAAAAAATTGATTTTTGTTCAGGTGGAACCAGTCCAGGCGTCTGGTGAATTACCAAAACCAGAACAATGGTTGGGCAGTGTAACGGGGTCAGTTCCCCCACCAACAGTGCAATCGGTGCCGCCGGTACCATCGAGTCCAAGGCGGGCTCCGCCCCTTCATTCCCGCGCTCTCTCATTGGGCAGTCAACCGTCGCCACGCGGTCCCTCAGACCCATTTGACGCCGAATGGGCAGAAATTGCGGCGCGCAATCTTCGTCAGGCCGCACAAACAAATCCATTTATAATGCCCAATGCAACGCAAGCCTTCCAGGTGCAATTATAGCGTCAGGAGTTTGTCAACAGTATAGCCAACTTTTATCGAACAAATACACAATGACGTGTCACGTTTAATTCAACAAATCACAATGGCAAGTCAAGTGAGAATTAATTTCTTTTCTTTTACTTCTAAAAAATCATAATTTCATTTTTATTAAATGAAAAAAAAACTGTTATTTAATTTAGAAAACAAAAATTGTCTTTTAATTCCAAAAAAATGTAATTCAGAAAAAAATTCTCATTTCTAAGGAAAAAAAAGACAATTTTTCATTTTTTGAGTGAACAATGCTCTTAATTTCTTTTCAATTAAAAAGAACAAAAAAAATTGTCAATATTTACAAGTTGAAGATTTTCTTTTTTATTTAATTCTCAGTACAAATTGTAAATACAGTAAAAACTGTCGAAGTGAAACTCGTGGAAGATAATTATTGACAGTGTTGTAAAAAAAATGTGTGAGTTCAATAGGAACTGAAAGAATTGCAATAATGTAAAAAAAGACGAATCTGTTATTATTAGGGAAAAAAACACGATAAATTGTCAATGTCGTAGAAACTGTCAAAAAAACGGTCAATGTACAGTAGATACTGTCAAAAGCGGTCAATGTAGTAGATACTGTCAAAGCGATCAATGTAGTAGAAAATGTCAAAGTGGTCAATACAGTAGAAAGTGTCTAACTGTCGATACAGTAGAAACTGTCCAACTGTCAATGCAGTAGAAACTGTCCAACTGTCAATACAGTAGAAACTATTCAACTGTCAATACAGTAGAAACTGTTCAACTGTCAATACAGTAGAAACTGTCAAACTATCAATACAGTAAAAATTTTCAATTTGACAGACAATACAGTCGAAACTGTCAAAATATCAAAGCAGTTGAAACTTTTCAATTGTCAATGCAGTAGAAATTGACAAAACAGTGAAAAATGTAAAATTGACAAAAATACAGAAAGAACAGTCAATAAAGTAAGCAACTGTTAATGCAAAAAAAGTCTCAAGACAGTAGAAACTGTCAAACTATCAATACAGTGGAAATTGTCAAATTGGCAATACTGTCAAACTCTCAATACAGTGGAAACTGTCAATTTGTCAGTACAGTAAAATCTCATAAAGTGACAATGCAGTGAAACCGAAAATAGTGTAAATACAGTAAATCTCAAGTTTAAGTTACAGTTAAAAGTGCAAAACGAATTTAAAATCTTTAAATTATATTACTGTAAATACAGTAGTAGATTTAATACTGTAACTCGAGCAATGTCTGTAATACAGTACTTATAATTTTACTTGTAATACAGTACTTAAAGTATTTACAGTACTGTCATACTGTACTTACAGTATTACAATATAATATAATACTTACAGTATTGACTGTACTACTCTACTTACAGTATTGACTGTACTACTCTACTTTCAGTATTAACAGTAGTAATTGTATTACTGTAGTAACAGTATTACAGTAATTACAGTACTGTAGATACTATTGTACTTACAGTACAATACTGTTAATACTACTGTAAATACAACCGTATTTACAGTAATATTAACAGTACTGTACTAACAGTACTGTAAATACTACTGAACTTACAGTACTTTGAATATAACAACTTTGAATTACTAACAGTACTGTAAATACTACTGAACTTACAGTACTTTGAATATAACAACTTTGAATTACTAACAGTACTGTAAATACTACTGTACTTACAGTACTTTGAATACAACAACTTTGAATTAATTACACTACTGTAAGTACTACTGTACTTACAGTACTGTAAATACTACTCTACTTACAGTATTAACAGTAGTAATTGTATTACTGTAGTAACAGTATTACAGTAATTACAGTACTGTAGATACTATTGTACTTACAGTACAATACTGTTAATACTACTGTAAATACAACCGTATTTACAGTAATATTAACAGTACTGTACTAACAGTACTGTAAATACTACTGAACTTACAGTACTTTGAATATAACAACTTTGAATTACTAACAGTACTGTAAATACTACTGAACTTACAGTACTTTGAATATAACAACTTTGAATTACTAACAGTACTGTAAATACTACTGTACTTACAGTACTTTGAATACAACAACTTTGAATTAATTACACTACTGTAAGTACTACTGTACTTACAGTACTGTAAATACTACTGTACTTACAGTACTTTGAATACTACTGTACCTACAATATAGTAAATACTACTGTCCTTCAGTACTATAACACTAGTGTACTCACAGTACAATACTGTAAATACTACTGTATTTACAGTACAGTACTGTAAATACTACTATACTTATAGTACAGTACTGTAAATACTACTGTATTTATAATACGGTATTATAAATACTACTGTACTTACAGTACAGTACTGTAAATACTACTATACTTATAGTACTGTAAACACTACTGAACTATAGTACAGTGAATGTTCTTACAGTACTGTAGATAAAGGGAAGTTCTGTAAATACAACTGTACTTCAGTAAAGGGAATTACTGCAAATACTACTGTACTTACAGTGCTGTAAATGTACTCTACATTTAATTTGGTAATTGTCGTATTCAAAATAAATACTGTAATATTAAAAATTGAGTAATGTTTGGAATACTGTTATAAACAGTAGGAGTTGTAATACTGTAGAGTTTGTGTCTGGATTGTGTTATGGTGGGGTTTAAACTATTGAAGAAAACTAATTTAAAATTTTGAATAAAATAACTGATGAGAATTGAACAAACTTGTTTTACATATTGAATCTTCTAATGGCATCGATGACATCTTCAAGATCTGGATCAGTTGCACGCATCTCCTTTATCAGATTTTCATGCTCGACCTGCTGATTAAAAACTGCTCTAAGTCCTTCAGTGGGTTCTTCTTGATCATTCAACATTTCCTTTTTCTTCAGGAAATGCTTCCTGTACTCAACTCTAATGAAGTCTCCACTGACACTAGCTGTGAAGAATTGCCACAGATTTTTGAGTGATGTCATTGTTTTCTTGGTGTTGTCCATCAAAATAGCACACAGAATGTAGGTTGCATTTAGATTAGCTGATTGTCCAGCAATCTTGAAAGGAGGTAAGAGTCCAGAAGACATCGGGGCTGTGATGAACATTCTCACAGTGTCATTTACAATCTTCAGCTTGTCTGTTGGATAAATAACTCTTCCATTACCATTAAGCATGTGCTCAACAATCAGAGGAGTGTTGACAACAGATATCCTTGGTAGAGTGACTATGTTAGGACCTAAAGGTTCATCTTTAGCCTTCCTTTGCTTCTCATGGATGTTGTACTTAATTTGGAGCCAGTTCATCACTTCTTTGAATTTATCAGTACTTCTGGCCTTTATTTTTGCCCACACAGCTCCTCTATTGACCATAATCAGGGTCAATAGTGCCATATCTTTAGCATAAGGTTCATAATTGGTTAAGGTTATTTTCTTCTCTCTGTCATCAACCATATAGACTATGTCAACACTCTTAACTGGAGTTCCTGCTCCAATATAGGCTTGTTGAGAGTTTATAAGGAGCTTCAGAGTGGTGCAAGGATTGAAACCTTCATACTCAATCATTTTTAACCATGCATCAATGTCATTAATCAACTCATCTCTTTTATTAGGTTTCCAAATCCTGTACAGATCACAAGTGAATCTAGTACTGATGTTTGCTTTGTTTATCAGACTGGAAACCTGGTCAAGAGTGACATCATCAATTTTAAGTTTGGAAAGATTTACCCTCTCAACATTGTTGGCTATCTCAAAATTAGGATCTATGATTTTAAGAATCTTATCACAAGTTAATGTGATAAGGATTCTAAAGAACATGTGCATCTTGGAATCAAAACTAATGTTCCTCTTACAAAGATTTTCTTCTATAATCAGATGCTCGGATATGGTCAAGACTCTTGAAGCTGCTTCCAGAGCTGTCACAATGAGTTGTAATACTGTAAGTAAAGTAGTACTTTTAATACTGTCATTACTGTAATACTGGAAAATACATTAAAATCTATTATATCACTGAGAAAAATATAGAATTATCGATAATAGGATACTTACAGTATTAACTCCAATACAATAATTACAGTAATAAATTTAGTACTGTAAAATACAACATTATTTAATTATTATTATTTTAAGACAGTAATAAATTTACTACTGTAAAGTACAAAAGTATTTGTAACTTTGTTACTGTAAGTACAGAAGTATTTGCGATTGGTATACCATGCAATTTAAAACTGAATTTAGTACTGAAATACTGACAAATACAGTGATACTGTCATCTTGGGATTAGGGTACTGACTATTACTGGCCATTACTGTAACACTGGCAATTATTGTTATACTGTCTATTATTGTAATACTGGCTATTATTGAAATACTGTCTGTTATTGTAATACTGTCTATTACTGTAATACTGGCTAATGCAGTAATTAGTATTAGTCAGTACCGAACAGTATTATCTAGTAATACAGTATTAACCAGTATTATCCAGTATTACTGTACAAGCGAGTGTTACAGTATTACTGTAATTCCAGGAAAATAATATTACTCTAATTTCATAATAACAGTATTACGGTGTTAGACAGTAGTACAGTATTAGCGATTGTTACAGTATTACTTTATATTACTGGCTAAAAAATAATACTGGGGCATTTATAAACACTGAAATACAATAATTTTTTATGTACTGTCAAATACAATAATACTGAAACACTTCTTTATACAGTAATACTGACTAATACTGTAATAAGAGTTAATACTGTCATACTGGCTAATACTGATATACTAACTAATACAGAAATTAGTATGAGTTAGTGATATTAGCCAGTATTACAGTATTAACCAGTATTACACTATTAGCCAGTATTACTGCATTAACCAGTATTACAGTATTTGCCAGTGTTACAGTATTAGCCAGTTTTATAGTATTATAGTATTGGCCAGTATTTACATTATTACAGTATATAAGCGTATTGTTACAGTATTACTGTACAATACTGTCTAAAACAGTAATACTGTAAAATTTGGAAATACTAAAAAAATGCAGTAATTCTTTAATACTGTTACACTCTAAAATCCTGAAATACTGATAAATACAGTATTAGTGTAATACTGTCTGATACAGTAATACCGAAATACTGTAATACCGAAACTACTGTAAATACAGTAGTACTTGTAAATGTGGCAAATACAGTAAAACCTGCCCAAATGGGAAGCCCAATGTATAAAAATACAATGACAATTGACCAGCAGAACATGCTCTACTCTCGTACAGTAAAAATATACAGTAGGACGAATACAGTAGAACCTTAAAATTGTTAATACAGTAGAAATTTAATCGCCTTCTTTAGGTCACAATATGAAAAAAAAACAGTGAAGCCTTTTTGTATCGCATTTAATACAGTAAAATCTCTTTGTAATGGACACAATACAGTAGAACCTTTTTAAGAAAAGCGTTTAAAGAAAACCTACGTTTTTACTGTCTTGAGTCCAAAACTGTTATATTGTTTTTTTTTGTTTTATTTTGGCACAACTTGTACGCTATTTCTGAAGCAGTAAAACGGAAAAAATGGAAAAAATTACTATTATACAGTAAAGTTCCGTTTTAGTGAAAAAATTTTTTTAAATGAAAAGAAAAAAAATGCTGCTTAGAAAACGCACACATGGCCTTCAAGGAATTTTTCTTATCAAGAAACGATAAAAAATTAACTTTATTTTTTTTCTCCGAATTTTTCGAAAAAAAACAATTGGTGCTCAAATTTTTTTTTCACTATTCGAAAAAGATTTATTTGTTTATTTTCGAATAACAACAAAGTCGATTAATTTAATTTAAAAAATTAAATTTTCGCCTTACTTTTTGTAATTAAATTTAGGTAAAAAAAAATTTTTTTTTTTTTGGAAAATTAGAAAATAATTTATTTTTATTATTCTTTATTTATTACTATTATTATAATGATTATTATTATTATTACTATGATTATTATATTTATTAATATTATTCGAATTGTTAATAAATCGTTGTATTTCTTTTTCTTCAGCGGAAAGAAAAAAAAATTATTATTGAAAGAAAAAAAATACGAAAATAAAATTATGTGAAAACAAATTTATTTCTTTGGAAAAATTTTCTTCTTTTTCAAAAAAAAAAAAAAAATCTAATTAGTTTGAATTTTAGAATAAAATTTCTGTGTACAAAAAAAATGAAGGCGCACAAAAAGTAGTGAAAAAAAATTAGTATACTAGAAATCATAATTCACGTTAGCAAAAAAAAAAAGTAAAAAATTTCTAATACGCACCATTAAATTAACCACAGCACGAAAATTTACAAAATATTCCTTCCCTCCCTTACAAAAAAATACAAATTATAAATATAAATATACCTAAAAATTTTACACTTCTCTAAAAAAAATTTTTGTTTTGAAAAAAAATTAATTTCAAATTTTCAACTATAATAAACAAAGAAAACAAAATGAAATAAAAATAAATATTTAATAAAAAGCAAAAACAAAAATCGATGCACAAGAAAAATAAGTCGGAGAAAACAAGAACTGTGATACGAATAAAAAAAAATTTAAAGCGAAGGCCAGTACCATAAACAAGAAAAGGCGAATAGAAAACAAAAAAAAGAAATGAGTCAAAATAAAAACGTTGCTCAAAATCGTTATAAATGAAAAAAACAAGATCAATTTTTAGCGAATTTGTGCTAATCTACGATTATTGTGAGAAAGTTTGTTGTGACAGAATGAAAATCTAGTAAAATGAAAAAAAATAGATGTTCTACACATAGGAAGAAAAAAAATTCTTATACTCTATCGTTGTCTAGTATTCTACACGAAAATTGTCCACACACACGTATTTTGCATTTAATTTAAACCAATGGCTTAAAAAACGGAATATTGTTAAAAAAAAAATTCCAAAGCCTCTTCGAGAAAAATCAAAAAAAGCAAAAAAAAATTGTTATTAGCAAAACTTGTAGTTTTTCGACTAGAATCCAATTTTTTCTTTTAAAAGCGAGCATATCGTTAGCTGACTAGATTAAAAAAAACATTTCCGTCGACCAATTATATTGCACCCGGGCATTTTTAAGCGCTATGCCCCCCCCTCTCCCCACTTTTCACACCCAAAAAAATTATCGATAAAATTATCGCTAAAGAGTTCAATAAAAAAAAATATATATAATAAAATATGATATATATACAAAAAAGCGTAAAATAAAAAAAAATCTATCAGTATTGACACAAACTTATAAACGCTCGGCTTCTATAAAAAAAAACCACAAATAAAATAAATAAATAAAAAAAAAGAAAAGTAAAACGTCGAAAAAAAAATTTGTAGAAAAATTTTTTTCTCCGCAATTTTTTTCCCTTGTAAATAAATATATGAATTATATAATTCCAAAATAACAAAAAAAAATTCAGAGAAAAAAAATTTTTTTTTTCGACAATAAAATATGAAAATGGCGAGAAAAAGAAAGGGAGAAAAATTAAAAATTAAAAAAAAAATTAAAATTCTCGCACAGCCATTGTCTCGCCTTATGTATGCAATGTATATATATAAATATAAAGTAGTGATTATTATATATAAATATATTTAATAATAAAAGAAAAATAAAAAAAAATTGTGGTGAAAACAAATGGAGATGATAGGAAAAAAAACAGAAGCGAGAATAGATACAAAAAAATATATATTGAGTTTTCCGAGCCAGCAAAATTTGAATCGCATATCAAAAAGCAAAAAAAAAGAAAGAAATACAAACTAGTTATTACATTCCCAATATTGATTTGGAAGGAAAGAAAAAATTTTTTTCTTCAAAATAATAATTTTTATTTTTGAAAGTGAACACGGTTGAAACTTTTCTTTATTTTTGTTTGGAATTTTATTTAAAAAAATAAGGTCTTTAATTTAAAAAACAGAATTTTCATGAAGCAACAAATTTTTTATTTTAAAACTTTTATTTTTATTTAAAATTAATAAATACACAACACAATTATTATTAAACAATTTTCATCTTACGAACGGTTAACTGAACTTTTGGCTTTCCCATGACATATGAAAATTGTTGGGGATTTACTCGAGGACATTTCACACATTTATTTAGAACTTTTTGAAGTTCATCATCATCTGTCAAAGTCTATTTATCTAAATTTGGTTATTCAGAATTAACCATATTTTGTACCACTGACTACTGATCAACACAATTCTTTGAAAGATTTAGACAAGTAATTGGGATTTTTATTCAGAAGTAATTTGTCGGAATTGAAATTCACTTGATCAGTAGTTGTTTAGCTTTTTTGACCTGGTTGACTGTAGTAAAGTTCCTATTGCATGGATCAGGAAATACAGTTAGTAGTTCTTAGAAGCCGAATAATAGGTTTTTTGTACAAGTCACATATCTGCTTGATAAGGGAAATAAGAGTCATCTGCCTCCTTTTAAAAAAGCTTCTCCTAAAGCAGGTACATGACCTACTAATTGGGAAAATTTATTTAAATCCTAGGGTGTTATTCTTTCATCCATTTTTACGAATGTAAAACCGTATGACACCCAATCTTCATCTAATTTTGATTTCATATTTAAGAAAAAATAAAACATCATTTAACGTAAGGACCTTAAATGTGTTTATATTCATTTTTGGTTTATTTGATTCTTTTTATAAAGATCATCTTCTTGACATTTATTCCTCTATCTATCTGATTGTAGAAGTGTACCAACAGCATGGATTAGGAAATACAGTAAGTGGTTTTTTACTGCTGAATAATAGGTCTTCTGAACCAATTCAAAATCAGACTGGTATGGAAAGTAGGAATATGGTCTGACGACTTTCTCATTCGCAGATGTTTCACTCTCTGTCACTGCTATTAATTTTTTGGCAATTCCTTTCATTAAAAATGTTATTGTCATTGTGACAAGAATAGACCTGGTTGATTGTAGTAGTGTTCCTACAGCATGGATTAGGAAGTATATATAGTTAGTGGTTCTTCACTGATGAAAGGTTTAATTGACTATGTTAAACTTACTTAAATGTTTAGCATTTTTAGACCTGGTTGACTGTAGTTGTATGCCAACAGCATAGATTAGGAAGTATAGTTGATGGTTTTTAAATGCAGAGTAATATGTTTTTTTACTAGTTAAATGTCAGATTGATACGGAAAGTATGATGAGAAATATTGTATGACGACTTTTTCATTCGCAAATGTTTCACTCCCTGTCACTGCTAATAATTTTTTGGCAATTCCTTTCATTGAAAATGTTCATGTCATTCTGACAAGAATAGACCTGGTTGATTGTAGTAGTGTTCCTACAGCATGGATTAGGAAGTATATATAGTTAGTGGTTCTTCACTGATGAAAGGTTTAATTGACTATGTTAAACTTACTTAAATGTTTAGCATTTTTAGACCTGGTTGACTGTAGTTGTATGCCAACAGCATAGATTAGGAAGTAAAGTTGATGGTTTTCAAATGCAGAGTAATAGGTCTTTTGAACAAATTCAAAATCAGACTGATATGGAAAGTAGGAAAATGGTATGACGACTTTTTCATTCACAAATGTTTCACTCCCTGTCACTGCTAATAATTTTTTGGCAATTCCTTTCATTGAAAATGTTCATGTCATTCTGACAAGAATAGACCTGGTTGATTGTAGTAGTGTTCCTACAGCATGGATTAGGAAGTATATATAGTTAGTGGTTCTTCACTGATGAAAGGTTTAATTGACTATGTTAAACTTACTTAAATGTTTAGCATTTTTAGACCTGGTTGACTGTAGTTGTATGCCAACAGCATAGATTAGGAAGTATAGTTGATGGTTATAAATGCAGAGTAATATGTTTTTTTTACTAGTTAAATGTCAGATTGATACGGAAAGTATGATGAGAAACATTGTATGACGACTTTTTCATTCGCAAATGTTTCACTCCCTGTCACTGCTAATAATTTTTTGGCAATTCCTTTCATTAAAAATGTTCTTGTCATTGTGACATAATGCGAGAATGCATATGCCATGATCTTAGCATTGACGGTTTTATTGACTACGTTAATCATACATAAATGTTTAGCATTTTTAGACCTGGTTGACTGTAGTTGTATGTCAACAGCATGGATTAGGAAGTATAGATAGTTAGTGGTTCTTCACTAATGACAGATTTTATTGACTAAGATAATCATAGTTAAATGTTTAGCATTTTTAGACCTGGTTGACTGTAGTTGTATGTCAACAGCATGGATTAGGAAGTATAGATAGTTAGTGGTTCTTCACTAATGACAGATTTTATTGACTAAGATAATCATAGTTAAATGTTTAGCATTTATAGACCTGGTTGACTGTAGTTGTATGTCAACAGCATGGATTAGGAAGTATAGATAGTTAGTGGTTCTTCACTAATGAATAATGGGTCTTTTGAACAAATTCAAAATCAGACTGATATGGAAAGTAGGAAAATGGTATGACGACTTTTTCATTCACAAATGTTTCACTCCCTGTCACTGCTAATAATTTTTTGGCAATTCCTTTCATTGAAAATGTTCATGTCATTCTGACAAGAATAGACCTGGTCGATTGTAGTAGTGTTCCTACAGCATGGATTAGGAAGTATATATAGTTAGTGGTTCTTCACTGATGAAAGGTTTAATTGACTATGTTAAACTTACTTAAATGTTTAGCATTTTTAGACCTGGTTGACTGTAGTTGTATGCCAACAGCATAGATTAGGAAGTAAAGTTGATGGTTATAAATGCAGAGTAATATGTATTTTTTACTAGTTAAATGTCAGATTGATACGGAAAGTATGATGAGAAACATTGTATGACGACTTTTTCATTCGCAAATGTTTCACTCCCTGTCACTGCTAAGTGTGGAATTTTGGCAATTCCTTTCATTAAAAATGTTCTTGTCATTGTGACAAGATTAGACCTGGTTGATTGTAGTAGTGTTCCTACAGCATGGATTAGGAAATATAGTTGATGATTTTTGGACGCAGAGTAATATGTTTTTTGTACTAGTTCAATGTCTGATTGATACGGAAAGTATGAGTCTTCTGCCTCTTTTAATTTAGCTTCTCCTAAAGAAGATACATGATCTACTAATTGGGTGAGTTTATTTAAATCCTAGGGCGTTATTTTTTCATCCATTTTTACGAATGTAACACCGTATGACACCCAATCTTCATCTAATTTTCATTTCACATTTATGAGAAAATAATACATCATTACTTTAAATGTGTTTATATTCATTTTTGTCTTATTTGATTCTTTTCATAAAGATCATCTTGCTGACGATCACTCGTCTATCTATCTGATTGTAGAAGTGTTCCAACAGCATGGATTACGAAGTACATTTAATGGTTTTTCACTGTTGAATAATAGGTCTTTTGAACAAATTCAAAATCAGACTGATATGGAAAGTAGGAAAATGGTATGACGACTTTTTCATTCACAAATGTTTCACTCCCTGTCACTGCTAATAATTTTTTGGCAATTCCTTTCATTGAAAATGTTCATGTCATTCTGACAAGAATAGACCTGGTTGATTGTAGTAGTGTTCCTACAGCATGGATTAGGAAGTATATATAGTTAGTGGTTCTTCACTGATGATAGGTTTAATTGACTATGTTAAACTTACTTAAATGTTTAGCATTTTTAGACCTGGTTGACTGTAGTTGTATGCCAACAGCATAGATTAGGAAGTATAGTTGATGGTTATAAATGCAGAGTAATAGGTCTTTTGAACAAATTCAAAATCAGACTGATATGGAAAGTAGGAAAATGGTATGACGACTTTTTCATTCACAAATGTTTCACTCCCTGTCACTGCTAATAATTTTTTGGCAATTCCTTTCATTGAAAATGTTCATGTCATTCTGACAAGAATAGACCTGGTTGATTGTAGTAGTGTTCCTACAGCATGGATTAGGAAGTATATATAGTTAGTGGTTCTTCACTGATGATAGGTTTAATTGACTATGTTAAACTTACTTAAATGTTTAGCATTTTTAGACCTGGTTGACTGTAGTTGTATGCCAACAGCATAGATTAGGAAGTATAGTTGATGGTTATAAATGCAGAGTAATAGGTCTTTTGAACAAATTCAAAATCAGACTGATATGGAAAGTAGGAAAATGGTATGACGACTTTTTCATTCACAAATGTTTCACTCCCTGTCACTGCTAATAATTTTTTGGCAATTCCTTTCATTAAAAATGTTCTTGTCATTGTGACAAGAATAGACCTGGTTGATTGTAGTAGTGTTCCTACAGCATGGATTAGGAAGTATATATAGTTAGTGGTTCTTCACTGATGAAAGGTTTAATTGACTATGTTAAACTTACTTAAATGTTTAGCATTTTTAGACCTGGTTGACTGTAGTTGTATGTCAACAGCATGGATTAGGAAGTATAGATAGTTAGTGGTTCTTCACTAATGACAGATTTTATTGACTAAGATAATCATAGTTAAATGTTTAGCATTTATAGACCTGGTTGACTGTAGTTGTATGTCAACAGCATGGATTAGGAAGTATAGATAGTTAGTGGTTCTTCACTAATGAATAATGGGTCTTCTGAACCAATTCAAAATCAGACTGGTATGGAAAGTAGGAATATGGTCTGACGACTTTCTCATTCGCAGATTTTTCACACTCTGTCACTGCTATTAATTTTTTGGCAATTCCTTTCATTAAAAATGTTCTTGTCATTGTGACAAGAATAGACCTGGTTGATTGTAGTAGTGTTCCTACAGCATGGATTAGGAAGTATATATAGTTAGTGGTTCTTCACTGATGAAAGGTTTAATTGACTATGTTAAACTTACTTAAATGTTTAGCATTTTTAGACCTGGTTGACTGTAGTTGTATGTCAACAGCATGGATTAGGAAGTATAGATAGTTAGTGGTTCTTCACTAATGACAGATTTTATTGACTAAGATAATCATAGTTAAATGTTTAGCATTTATAGACCTGGTTGACTGTAGTTGTATGTCAACAGCATGGATTAGGAAGTATAGATAGTTAGTGGTTCTTCACTAATGAATAATGGGTCTTCTGAACCAATTCAAAATCAGACTGGTATGGAAAGTAGGAATATGGTCTGACGACTTTCTCATTCGCAGATTTTTCACACTCTGTCACTGCTATTAATTTTTTGGCAATTCCTTTCATTAAAAATGTTCTTGTCATTGTGACAAGAATAGACCTGGTTGATTGTAGTAGTGTTCCTACAGCATGGATTAGGAAGTATATATAGTTAGTGGTTCTTCACTGATGAAAGGTTTAATTGACTATGTTAAACTTACTTAAATGTTTAGCATTTTTAGACCTGGTTGACTGTAGTTGTATGTCAACAGCATGGATTAGGAAGTATAGATAGTTAGTGGTTCTTCACTAATGACAGATTTTATTGACTAAGATAATCATAGTTAAATGTTTAGCATTTATAGACCTGGTTGACTGTAGTTGTATGTCAACAGCATGGATTAGGAAGTATAGATAGTTAGTGGTTCTTCACTAATGAATAATGGGTCTTCTGAACCAATTCAAAATCAGACTGATATGGAAAGTAGGAAAATGGTATGACGACTTTTTCATTCACAAATGTTTCACTCCCTGTCACTGCTAATAATTTTTTGGCAATTCCTTTCATTGAAAATGTTCATGTCATTCTGACAAGAATAGACCTGGTTGATTGTAGTAGTGTTCCTACAGCATGGATTAGGAAGTATATATAGTTAGTGGTTCTTCACTGATGATAGGTTTAATTGACTATGTTAAACTTACTTAAATGTTTAGCATTTTTAGACCTGGTTGACTGTAGTTGTATGCCAACAGCATAGATTAGGAAGTATAGTTGATGGTTATAATTGAGAGTAATATGTTTTTTTTACTAGTTAAATGTCAGATTGATACGGAAAGTATGATGAGAAACATTGTATGACGACTTTTTCATTCGCAAATGTTTCACTCCCTGTCACTGCTAATAATTTTTTGGCAATTCCTTTCATTAAAAATGTTCTTGTCATTGTGACATAATGCGAGAATGCATATGCCATGATCTTAGCATTGACGGTTTTATTGACTACGTTAATCATACATAAATGTTTAGCATTTTTAGACCTGGTTGACTGTAGTTGTATGTCAACAGCATGGATTAGGAAGTATAGATAGTTAGTGGTTCTTCACTAATGACAGATTTTATTGACTAAGATAATCATAGTTAAATGTTTAGCATTTATAGACCTGGTTGACTGTAGTTGTATGTCAACAGCATGGATTAGGAAGTATAGATAGTTAGTGGTTCTTCACTAATGAATAATGGGTCTTCTGAACCAATTCAAAATCAGACTGGTATGGAAAGTAGGAATATGGTCTGACGACTTTCTCATTCGCAGATTTTTCACACTCTGTCACTGCTATTAATTTTTTGGCAATTCCTTTCATTAAAATGTTCTTGTCATTGTGACAAGAATAGACCTGGTTGATTGTAGTAGTGTTCCTACAGCATGGATTAGGAAGTATAAATAGTTAGTGGTTCTTCACTGATGAAAGGTTTAATTGACTATGTTAAACTTACTTAAATGTTTAGCATTTTTAGACCTGGTTGACTGTAGTTGTATGTCAACAGCATGGATTAGGAAGTATAGATAGTTAGTGGTTCTTCACTAATGACAGATTTTATTGACTAAGATAATCATAGTTAAATGTTTAGCATTTATAGACCTGGTTGACTGTAGTTGTATGTCAACAGCATGGATTAGGAAGTATAGATAGTTAGTGGTTCTTCACTAATGAATAATGGGTCTTCTGAACCAATTCAAAATCAGACTGATATGGAAAGTAGGAAAATGGTATGACGACTTTTTCATTCACAAATGTTTCACTCCCTGTCACTGCTAATAATTTTTTGGCAATTCCTTTCATTGAAAATGTTCATGTCATTCTGACAAGAATAGACCTGGTTGATTGTAGTAGTGTTCCTACAGCATGGATTAGGAAGTATATATAGTTAGTGGTTCTTCACTGATGATAGGTTTAATTGACTATGTTAAACTTACTTAAATGTTTAGCATTTTTAGACCTGGTTGACTGTAGTTGTATGCCAACAGCATAGATTAGGAAGTATAGTTGATGGTTATAAATGCAGAGTAATAGGTCTTTTGAACAAATTCAAAATCAGACTGATATGGAAAGTAGGAAAATGGTATGACGACTTTTTCATTCACAAATGTTTCACTCCCTGTCACTGCTAATAATTTTTTGGCAATTCCTTTCATTGAAAATGTTCATGTCATTCTGACAAGAATAGACCTGGTTGATTGTAGTAGTGTTCCTACAGCATGGATTAGGAAGTATATATAGTTAGTGGTTCTTCACTGATGAAAGGTTTAATTGACTATGTTAAACTTACTTAAATGTTTAGCATTTTTAGACCTGGTTGACTGTAGTTGTATGCCAACAGCATAGATTAGGAAGTATAGTTGATGGTTATAATTGAGAGTAATATGTTTTTTTTACTAGTTAAATGTCAGATTGATACGGAAAGTATGATGAGAAACATTGTATGACGACTTTTTCATTCGCAAATGTTTCACTCCCTGTCACTGCTAATAATTTTTTGGCAATTCCTTTCATTAAAAATGTTCTTGTCATTGTGACATAATGCGAGAATGCATATGCCATGATCTTAGCATTGACGGTTTTATTGACTACGTTAATCATACATAAATGTTTAGCATTTTTAGACCTGGTTGACTGTAGTTGTATGTCAACAGCATGGATTAGGAAGTATAGATAGTTAGTGGTTCTTCACTAATGACAGATTTTATTGACTAAGATAATCATAGTTAAATGTTTAGCATTTATAGACCTGGTTGACTGTAGTTGTATGTCAACAGCATGGATTAGGAAGTATAGATAGTTAGTGGTTCTTCACTAATGAATAATGGGTCTTCTGAACCAATTCAAAATCAGACTGGTATGGAAAGTAGGAATATGGTCTGACGACTTTCTCATTCGCAGATTTTTCACACTCTGTCACTGCTATTAATTTTTTGGCAATTCCTTTCATTAAAAATGTTCTTGTCATTGTGACAAGAATAGACCTGGTTGATTGTAGTAGTGTTCCTACAGCATGGATTAGGAAGTATATATAGTTAGTGGTTCTTCACTGATGAAAGGTTTAATTGACTATGTTAAACTTACTTAAATGTTTAGCATTTTTAGACCTGGTTGACTGTAGTTGTATGTCAACAGCATGGATTAGGAAGTATAGATAGTTAGTGGTTCTTCACTAATGACAGATTTTATTGACTAAGATAATCATAGTTAAATGTTTAGCATTTATAGACCTGGTTGACTGTAGTTGTATGTCAACAGCATGGATTAGGAAGTATAGATAGTTAGTGGTTCTTTACTAATGAATAATGGGTCTTCTGAACCAATTCAAAATCAGACTGATATGGAAAGTAGGAAAATGGTATGACGACTTTTTCATTCACAAATGTTTCACTCCCTGTCACTGCTAATAATTTTTTGGCAATTCCTTTCATTGAAAATGTTCATGTCATTCTGACAAGAATAGACCTGGTTGATTGTAGTAGTGTTCCTACAGCATGGATTAGGAAGTATATATAGTTAGTGGTTCTTCACTGATGAAAGGTTTAATTGACTATGTTAAACTTACTTAAATGTTTAGCATTTTTAGACCTGGTTGACTGTAGTTGTATGCCAACAGCATAGATTAGGAAGTAAAGTTGATGGTTATAAATGCAGAGTAATATGTCTTTTTTACTAGTTAAATGTCAGATTGATACGGAAAGTATGATGAGAAACATTGTATGACGACTTTTTCATTCGCAAATGTTTCACTCCCTGTCACTGCTAATAATTTTTTGGCAATTCCTTTCATTAAAAATGTTCTTGTCATTGTGACAAGATTAGACCTGGTTGATTGTAGTAGTGTTCCTACAGCATGGATTAGGAAGTATAGTTGATGATTTTTGGACGCAGAGTAATATGTTTTTTGTACTAGTTCAATGTCTGATTGATACGGAAAGTATGAGTCTTCTGCCTCTTTTAATTTAGCTTCTCCTAAAGAAGATACATGATCTACTAATTGGGTGAGTTTATTTAAATCCTAGGGCGTTATTTTTTCATCCATTTTTACGAATGTAACACCGTATGACACCCAATCTTCATCTAATTTTCATTTCACATTTATGAGAAAATAATACATCATTACTTTAAATGTGTTTATATTCATTTTTGTCTTATTTGATTCTTTTTATAAAGATCATCTTGCTGACGATCACTCGTCTATCTATCTGATTGTAGAAGAGTTCCAACAGCATGGATTACGAAGTACATTTAATGGTTTTTCACTGTTGAATAATAGGTCTTTTGAACAAATTCAAAATCAGACTGATATGGAAAGTAGGAAAATGGTATGACGACTTTTTCATTCACAAATGTTTCACTCCCTGTCACTGCTAATAATTTTTTGGCAATTCCTTTCATTGAAAATGTTCATGTCATTCTGACAAGAATAGACCTGGTTGATTGTAGTAGTGTTCCTACAGCATGGATTAGGAAGTATATATAGTTAGTGGTTCTTCACTGATGATAGGTTTAATTGACTATGTTAAACTTACTTAAATGTTTAGCATTTTTAGACCTGGTTGACTGTAGTTGTATGCCAACAGCATAGATTAGGAAGTATAGTTGATGGTTATAAATCCAGAGTAATATGTTTTTTTTACTAGTTAAATGTCAGATTGATACGGAAAGTATGATGAGAAACATTGTATGACGACTTTTTCATTCGCAAATGTTTCACTCCCTGTCACTGCTAATAATTTTTTGGCAATTCCTTTCATTAAAAATGTTCTTGTCATTGTGACATAATGCGAGAATGCATATGCCATGATCTTAGCATTGACGGTTTTATTGACTATGTTAATCATACATAAATGTTTAGCATTTTTAGACCTGGTTGACTGTAGTTGTATGTCAACAGCATGGATTAGGAAGTATAGATAGTTAGTGGTTCTTCACTAATGAATAATAAGTTATCTTCCTGGGTGTTAGTTTTTCATCCATATTTACGATTGTAACACCGTATGACACCCAATCTTCATCAAATTTTGATTTCACATTTAAGAAATAGTAAAACATCATTATTTTGGCTGTGTTTATATTCATTTTTGGTTAATTTTATTCTTTATTTTAAGAAGATTAAACACATGACAATTACTATTAAAGAATGTTATCTTCACTGATGATTTAATTTAAAATAAAAGTTCGTTCCTTTGTTTTCGATAGTTCGAGCACGACTGCCATTTTCTCATTAATCTATAAATTAACATATATTTACACACACACACACTTATACTATTCTTTAAATAAAATTTTTTTTTCAAGAAAATTATTTTTTAAGTTAAATATTATTTTTCAATTAAAAAAAATTATTTTTCAAAATAAAAAAAAATTATTTTTTGAAAAGAAAAATTTTTTCTTTCAATAAATTGAGTCAAATCGAAAAGTTGTCATTTTGTATATGTGAGAAAAAAAATAAAAGAGAGAAAGAGAGAGCGAGAGAGATTGAGAATAAACGACAGTGGAAACTTAAATGATGCAAATGAAATAAAATGTCTTCTGCAAGTACTTAACTTTGTTAAAATGGAATAATTTCGTCGATAGGAATTGCTTTTGCTCTGAGAAAAACATAATCTTCGATTCTCTCTTCCGTCCCGAAGTCGAAGAATGTTTTTGCAAGCACAAGTCGGTTATCTCAATAAAATGAAGCGAGCGACGAAAGAGAAAGAGAGAGCGAGAGATACCAAAATTATTCACTGTACTTAAGCATATAACGTAGCTCGTTTAGCAAATGTTGGGAAATTTTTCTGTTTTTTAAAAGCAAAATATAAACTCTAATTATGTAGTTTAGTTAATAAATTAAGAAAAAATTTTTAGCCTTAAAATTTCGATTTTTATTGACTAAATTTTAATTTTTGTTATTTAGGTCATTTTGACCATTTAGGTCTTTCTAGGTCATTCGGACAATTTAGCTCTTTTAGGTCTTTAAATGTGATCTTAAATCCGTTTTGCCCGTTTAGGTTTTTCAGGTGTTTTAGGTCATTTGACCTAATTTGTCCAAAAAAAGACCTACATGGTAAAAAAGACCTAAATGACCAAAAATGTAAACAAACGAAATTGCTTCATTCTTTTAGTGATATAACTACTTTTTGTAAATTTTTCAATTGTCCAAAAAAGACCTATTTGTCCAAAAAAGACCTATTTGTCCAAAAAAGACCTAAATGGTCAAAGAATGTAAAAAACAAAAATTGCGAATTATTAACTGATTTTCCTCACGTTTTTGAAATCGCCAAGATATTGAAAAATAAGAAAAATTTCCTAACAAAGGTTAAAAATTTTTTTTGTTTCCCTTGATGGAAAGCTTTAATGGCAAATTGTACATAAAGTAACAAATAATACGTTCTAGCATTATTATTATTTTTTTATTACTATTATTCTTATAATTAATATTACAATTATTATTATATAATTATATTAAATAAAAAATTAAATTAAACAAAATAATTTCGATGTGAGTGAAAATAACAAGTACAAAAAAAATATTTTTTACAAATTTTGTTTCTTTCCTTTTTTTGTGTTGGTAATTTTAACTCAGAATCGAAATTGAATTGAATTTTTAACAAATTAAGGATTTTTAGAGATCTGTGAATGTTGCACAAGCTATTTAAAATGTGTAATAATTCTCATTCGGTGACGATTTTCGTAATTATAATTACCGAGATTGGGGCATTGGATTTGAGAGATCAAATAATAGCGAGCTTGATTTCTGCTTGAAAAGCAGTAGAACGAAATATACAAAAAGAATGCGAATTTCTTTTTTTATGTACGAGAAAAAAAATTAATTTCTTGATCTCTAACTTGGAAAAAAAAATTTTTTTTGTTCAATTGTTTATATTTGGATGATTTTAACATAAAAATCAAATTTGACCAAGAATGGGCAATGAAAAAAAAAATTTTGAATTTAAAGTAATTTATAGAAAAAGATTTTTAATTTAATTAAATTAAAGTTTTTTTTTACGAAAAAAAAAAATTTAACATGTAAAAATGTTAAATTTTGGATAGAAATGTTTTTTTTCTCATAGAATTTGAGGAAATGAAGTAATAATATGATGAGAGTTGGGGAAATAGGAGAGATATGAGAAATCTAAGGAAAATATCTTCATGTTTGTAAATAGTAGGATTGCCGATCGATTTCTTAAAATCATCGTACGAATTAACGCGTGTAAATTTTCGAAACAATATCTTTGTTTATTTTGCAATGTATTAGCCTCTGTAAAGATACGATTTATTATATATAATATCTGTTGTGATTAAAAAAAAATTTGCTTGTTCTTTCTTTATTCCCCTTCCTTAAAAAAAATTTTATAAAAAAAATTTTTTTTAATTTAAATAATTTAATGTAATAATTTAATATTAAAAATTAAATAAATTATTTATTTTTTTAAAACAATAGTATATAAATATTAATATTTATTAATTAATATTAGTAAAAATTAGTTATAATATTGATTAAAATACGTTTTTAAGGAAAAAAAATGATCGTCGACGGGATTCAAACCCCGTTTGGAAGACTTAACTCGAACTGAATAGGCAGCTAACGACCTCAGCTAAGCGGACAGAGCAACATTAAAATTCATCAACAATTTTTAAATTCAATTATTTCGATAAATACTCAACGGATTTGAAAATAAAAAAATGCGTTTTTCTCAAAATTTTAAATAGAATTCGAATTAGTTGACAAAATTAGTTAAACAATTATTTTCGAGCAAATTAATTATTATTAAACTAGCAACAATTCGCAAGCTAACTTTTTATTTCCTTTTTAAAATAAAGTTAGCAGTCAATTATTTGTGTAAATAATAAATTTCTTCTTTAAATTTAATTAATTTAAAAAATAATAAACATTTCACAGGATTTCAATTAACAAATTGTTTATAAATTTCTTCGCAATAATTTAATTATTTTCATAAATAATAAAACTCATCGCAGAATTTCAATTATTTTTAATACAATTTTAATCGAATTCCTCAGAAAATATCATTATTATTACAAATTTTATTAAAATTCGTCAAAAGAATCGGATTATTTAAAAATTTATTGATAAAATTATTTATGAGAATTAAATTTTAAGAAACATTTAATTATTCAATATATTATTTATTTTTGTATTTAAATAATTGAATTCTCGTAAAATTTTCTAATTAAAATTGATTTAAAAATTAATTTCAGTTAATGTTTTTACATTATAATTAAATATTAAAAAGCATTTTAACGTAAATTTAAAAAAAAAAATAGAATTTTGAAAATGTATCAAATTAAAATTCTTGAAAATCGGAATTACAAGTGATTGAAGAATCCAAGTATTTTCAAATAACTAATAAAATTCTTCGCATATGTTGAATTATATTCAAAGATTAAAAAAAATTTTTTGTCAAATTTCAATTATCTTCACAATTAAATAAATAATAAAGTTCTTCTCCGAAATAAAATTATTTTCAAAATTTTAATTATTTTCAAAAACTTTTCTAAATTATTTAAATTTTAATTTTAATTCCTAAATTATTTAATAAATATTTGAAAATTTGAATTTTTTGTAACTTTTAACTGACAATTTTGTAGAATTAACAAATAATCAAAATTTCTTAAAATTGAATTGTTAAAAAATAAATTTGAAAATTCTCAAAGAACTTTTTCAAAAATTATTGAAAATAATTAATTAATAATTAATTTAGTGAAGAATTTTAGTTAAAAATTCTAGAAAATAATAAATAAAATAATGGGTAATAATAAATAATAGTAATAAAAATAAATTAAATAAAAAATAGTAAAGGTTAATTTATAAAAAAAATTTAGAAAGTAATTGTTAAAAATAATTTCCAATGTAATAGTAGCAAATAAATAATTTATAAATATTACAAAATGTTGCTAAAAAAAAGTAAATCACTCAGAATTTATTAACAGAGAGTGTCAAAAAACCTTTATACTTGTGAATTATTT